CGTTGGTAGAAGAATTGATTACATGCAAGAATTTTAGATTTATCGAATAAATTGTTATGTCCGGTTTCGTCATTCGGAAACTGCTTAGTCTTAAGGCTATTTCATGTTCTTTGAGCCTAGTTCATATTTTTTGTCCAGTCTCTTCAAGGTATTCTTTGCCGCATATGCATGGAATGCTGTACACATTGGCATCTCAAATGGAATTTTGACTTTGACGGATCAAAGATGTTGAGACATTTTCGATCAAGTGGTAAATCTGGTTTTAACATTACATTTTTTAAGAACTTTTTATATGTGGTCAGTAATGTTTTGAATGTAGGAAAGGACAACTTTCTTGCATTCAATTTTAAAGCCATGAGGTGAGGCACATTTTTTCCAAAAATTCTAATAGAGCTTTAGAAGCAGAATAAATGAAAATTCTCAAATGTAATCAATTCTTCTACAAAGAGAAATCCGAAAATTCATAGAAACCAGCCAATCATAACCACGACTCAGATGTTCCACCAATATTGCTTCAAACAGTATATAATCTGGTACAGAGTAGAATCGAAACCAGTTTCAGTTAAGCTCTGAAGAAGCCAACAGAAGATTTGAAAATAGTTTTACAGTAGCCTGTAGACATTTATATGGCAACGGTTTGATGAAGCACCCATCTAATTGAAATTATTATTTGTTCATCTTATATAACATTTAATTAAAAAATAATCGTATCCATTATGGGTCACCCGGTATATACGAGCATATAGACGTAAAATGTGACTTTCTGTATCGGTGTTCCATCAGAATCCTCCAGACTGGAATTCAGTTTGCAAATATTTGAAATATAAAACTAAATTTTTAACGTGGCTTGGTGCCATTTGGGAAAACCGATTGCAAGGATAAAATGCTCTTCCGAATATTGAATGAGATTGATATGCCATTCCCTACGGCTCTTAGTTTCTGTACGAAGGTAAACTCGAATATCATGTTCGATGAAGGCAGACATTCCCCTAAATCCGATCCCGAAAGACCGTAATTAGGCGTACAAAATACGAGGGCAGTGCCAAAATTTCCCGATGTGAATATAAAAGAAACAAAGTAGAATAACATTTTTTTATTATTTTTCATTACAATCCCCCTTAACTTCAATACACTTATTATATCTCTTTATTAACAACTCAATCCCTTTAAAAAAATATTCTTTTGGTTTGTCTGCAAAATGAGCTAAAACAGCCTCTTTTAACTGAACTTCGTCGTTAAACTGCCGTCTAAACTAATAATAGTCAGTGGGGCCCATAACTGGACTATAGGGAGGATGATCTATCTGTTGTAACCCATACTCTAAAATGGCAGCTTGTGCAACACCAGCAGTATGGACAGGCGGATTATCGTGCAGAAGATGCACGCCTCTGGTCAGTTTTTCTCGACGTTTTACACGTATGCAGTCTCGCAATTTATGTAATAATGTTGAGTAATATTTACCATTGGCAGTGGTATTATCAAAAGAATTCCTTTAGAATCCCAAAAGATCGTGGCCATCACCTTTTTTGTTGACTGGCAGACTCTGAATTTTCTTGGAGGTGCTTCACCCTTACGACGCCACTCCATTGATCCTTTTTTCGATAGAGGGTCATAATAGAGAACCATAATTTCATCTCCCGTCACAATAGTTTCTATCACAGGCTTCGGTTCCGACCCACAGAGTTGCAAAAAAGACCGCGCACACCCGACACGGCGTTGTTTTTGAATAGCCGAAAGGTTTTTAGGAACCCATCTTGCACTAACCTTATGCATACCGAAATGATCATGCAGGATTCGACGAACACTTGTATCAGAAAGCTTAGTAATTTCCTTGATCTTTAAACGTCGATCACTCAATACCACCAGTTCTTGAATCATCTTCAAGGGACTTCTGCCCCATTCGAAAACGTTTTGCCCATTCTTTCACTACAAAATACGAAGGAAAACTTTGGCCGTACACACCATCCATCCCTTCTTTAATAATTTTAGGTGCTAACCTTTCTTTTGTCAAAAACTTTATGACTGCTCTATACTCAATTTGCGTTATTTGCGACATTTTTTCTTGTTTAAAATGCTGTCAATAAGAAACTATTTGACGCAAGAGTTCAATTCTTTTTTTCGCAGCATACTAACATATGCATTTAAAAGAAGACAAAGTTTTATCGTGATACTGGAACTGCATCTATGTCAGGCCGGGGAATTTTGGCGCTAACCTCGTACGTTATTTGAATAGGACCGTTTCACCTTTGTTTCAGTTACTTAAATTCTAAGGATTTAGTGCATATGAAATAATTCGAAGAATATTAATTTCAACAAAACGTTTCGCTTAAATTCAACGCTACATTATTAACCAAGATGACTGTTTATTTTCCAGCTTGGGTACTAAAGTTAATTGCGGAATCGGGATGCATTATGTTTTTGGCTCAACGGCCATTTATTACTTTAAAGCACGAAGATGTTTTATCTTTATGTACAGCTTTAATCTGGGACAAAGAGAGGTCCCTTTGTGTTTGAAATGCTACTCATGCTAAATATACGTAGAGCTTGCAGCCTTCCTATATGCATCCGATATTGTGCATTTGGGGCTTTTACGTATTTATATATTTTGCACGGAACGATCTCAACTATATAGTTTTAAGCATATTTCTAATTCCATTGCTTTGTATTTAAATAAATAAAAAATCCAATCGGAATGTTGATGGCAAATATCGTACATAGAGTCTACAACATTTTTTGAATACAGGTTTCCTAGATTTATTCTTAGATTTCCCAAAGAAAGTACAGTTCTACCACACATGCCACAATCTTGCATTTGAACATATGTTATTTTCAATATAAAACAACAACGAAAACCAATCACACAACATGGGTAAGTAAAAATTATTTTTTAATACAATTGTTACATTTTTTCTTTATCTAAACTAGAAAAAACTAAAGTTATATTTGCAAAGATTGCCATCTCCAGATACCGCCGTCTTTTTCAATAACAATAACATGACAAGAATTGTACTAATCGAACTCAAATGCAAAATGTAATTTAAACAAAAATTGATAATCAATATCTTGATTAGTTTTCGCTATTATATGGTGTAAATTAAATTTAAATATTTTTTTGTATACTCAAAATCTTTCGTTCTTTGGGGAAATTTTTTTTTATAATGACTACAGATTATAGCCCATCAGTTTATATTATGCAATCCCAAGGAGGCACGAAAAATTTTACCATTGGAAGTTAATAAAGGGTAGGTAATTTCCTCAAAATAAATTATTTCCCCCGTTTCTCGCACGACTCTCGATTTTCAAATTAAAGTTTTAACGCAAAATGTATAAACCGTTGCTCGCACAAATTAAATTGTGGAAATTATGCGATTACCGAAAGTTGCAGATTTAGCTTTCCTTCGTGGTCATAATTAATTTTGTTTATTTCGGTTCGGATATTTCGGCAACAATTGTGCAGGAATATCAGCGGCCATTTCGTCAATATCGCATTTCCTCACTCATGCTCAAATTCATAGGTTAATATTATTTTTTTAGTCAAACGTTGATGCTCTATGACTTTCATTTTAGTAGTAAAAATAATTTGTTTAAAACTGCTGTTAAAAATAACTAAGGGATTCTTACTGTTGCACAAAAACTATAATAGGGTATACACCACATATACAAGGTGTTTCCTAACTTCACTGAGAAGAGAAAGAATGAGGATTCGCACCTAATTTTGACAAGGAAAGTGTGGTAAATCAAAACTTATTGAATATAGTTTTGCATTCGCCATACAAGACGAATACGATTTCAGGCGTTTCCTTTTTGCGATTAATTAATGATGAAAATTATAACCTTTTAATGATGTACCCATGATTTTGTTGTCTTACAAACATTCAAAACATTCGAAAAATAACAGGAATGCCAAATCAAATTAAAATGTAAATTTAATGATTTTATAATAAATTTAAAAATTTATAATAGGTAGATAATAAATAATAAAAAAATTAATAAGTTAAATCCTTAAAATATCTATGAAAAAAATTATCGATACATGTTAAGACTTCAAAATATATTTTTCTAGTTATAATCTTTATAGATAGAAATTCTTAGAGCAGATTAGCTCAGTTATGTCAAAGAAAAATTTTCAGACAAACTTTCTATTTAAAAACTCTGTGTCGCAATGTATATTTAAAAATTAATATATATTTTGGGAAATCTATTTTCTATAAAAATTTTATTCCACTTAACATAATGACATTAATATTATTATTACCAACATACCGATCTGGCGTGCGGGAAGCGTCACTTTACCACGTCAGTTTCGTTTTCCAAGGATCCGAGCCACTTCGGACATTTCCGGAATTTTACCACACGGCTTGAATTTTCACGTTAGACAATTCTGACGGTCATGTCAGTGAATGTATTCGTGTTGTTTTACGAAAATGTACTCAAAGACTAATGGTCGTAGAAAAAGTATAGTATGCAACACGTTCGGTAAACTTTTTAAGTCACTCGCTCCACTGCGCTCCGGTCGTGTCGAATAAACTCGTGAATCAAATGCTGTTTATCAACCTTGTTGCATACTATACTATTTTCTATTCTATTTAATTTTTTGTCACAAAATAATAATGATAACAATAATAATAATAATCATGTTGACTGGAAGAAAATTAAGATAGAAAACAGGTTTATTTTGCAAAATATATGTTTATTTGGAATTATATATCTAGACAATTATGCAATTTTGAATGAAATAAAGTATATAAACAGAGTGATCCGTTGAAAAATATAAATTTAGCCTAAAAATTATATCTATAACAAAAAAGTCTGAGTCCGCCAATGGTTTTCTGTTTTACTGTGCCTAGGATTGTTTTGAGAACGGAATCTTTGTTTCACGTAAATCGAAAGTCCCAAAAATAAAAAAATCTTTATTCTGACGGCATTCTCAAGCAATGCAACAGACACTTGTCTTTGTAAATATTATCGTTAGACTTGGTGTGAAAAAAAAAATAACTCACCTCCATTATTGTTATCATTGCAGTCTCTTCCCGTATCATCAGCCACTCTATCGATGATGTGCGTTGCGATGGATCGATACTGCGTGGTGAAAAAATTCCAGCCTATTAACCGTAGGATAACAAGGAAGAAAACTCTTCCTTACATCGTGGCACTGATATGGATCGTTGCTTCTTTCGTCGTCCTCTCCGAAGCAGTTAGTATTCACAAGTCGTTTTCCTGTTACACCATGGTGTTGCTTGTCAAATTGGTGTTAATCAACATCCTACCTACCCTAACCGTACTCGTCAGCCATATAATCCTGCATTCCAACTTGACGGCGGTGTCACTCACAGCCCGCGCCAGACATGGCGAACTTCCTCTTCCGATGCCAATTCTTCAAACCAAGAAGCTAGAAAATCAAAAGTCACATGTGATTATCGTGACCGGAGTATCCTCCAAAGTAAGTACAAATTTCATAAATCTAAGCTAGTTTGCGAAATCATGTTTCAGCATCTATCTACTTATTGAGGATTACAAGCGAGGCAGACCTGCGGTTAAACGTTCATAACCATTTACCAAAGTTAAATACTGGATTATGTAGTAAAAAAGGTATATGGTTTGGAGAACTCTATTCTATTCTATTAAAAGTATGCCAAATAAAAAAGATGCAATATATTGTGCGGACGGTATATATGGGGTTCAGTAGTTTCAAAACATTGAAGTATACATAGTTGCAGACCGTACCTGTGCTCAGTATATTGTGTATGTCGATAATTAAAGAATTTTAGTCTACTGAATTTTTCAATATAGTTAAATCTATTGGTTTTTGAAATATTTCAGTTTCATTACATTTCCAAAAAAATATATTTTTTTATGGTATATAGAATTTAATTTTAATAGTAGAATTTTATTTAGCACTTGGCTAGTATATACAATTTACAGTATTACAGTTTTTTATATAGAAAAATATATTAGCAGCTCTTTACTAGCAGCATGTATCGCTCAAATAACTATTTTGATCTTTAGTACCAGTACCACTACGTATTGGAACTACACATACTTCACAGTTTTGAGAACCCATAATACACATTGTTCTGTTATACAGTCCAAACAACATAGTGCGCCATCTTTCTTTGACTGAATATTTATCTAGTTGTAATAAAATAAACCATACAATAAGCATACCAAAAAGTAAGTTCTTTTACAATAACCAAATGTCAAAGTTATAGGAACATTATTAAAATTCCCCATTGTTCAACTTTCAGCACGCCCACGAAGGACCATAAATTTTGACAAACACATTTTGCTTAAGAAAAGTGAAAGGTCCTATTCATTTAGTAACGTTTTTAACATTTAGCTAAGTTTGACAGTACTTCTCCTATTATTTTTAATTCAGCAAATGTTTCATATTAAGTATTCACAAAAAAAATAGTAAAGGTACTCCTAAAGTCATTTTTTTGAAATTTATATTATGAAAAAGTGCACTCAGTGATCGACACATCATTATCATAAATTTTAAAACTCTACAATGAAGTTAAATGAGTTTGAGTTTTGATACAAAAATAAATATGGTGTCGTTCTTAACAAAATAACAGTTCTTAATTAATTTTATTAATCCCCGTAATTACATAAAATATTAGTACATCAATATCAGTAATTAGCCTTAAATTATTATTAAAATTATCATTAAACAAAAGGGAATAGCACCAAAAAGAAAAACTTAAGTTACCTGATTTCTTTCAAAATAAATAAGAACTAAAAGTTCAGATTTTCACGAAATTATGTATACATTGTACATGACAATTGTTTCGACAACACCGTGTCTTTATCATTTGATACTTCATACTGCGTTTTCATCTGATATTAAATGTATATTAATCGATAAGACAACGTTACAGTGTTTCCAAAATGCAGAATTAGTCAAATTTAAATACATAAATTCAACCTTTAGGAAGAAAATATAACATACCTAATAATATGTTGCTTAATCTTTGCACTTGACGCAGAACTTATTAGATAAACAAAGAATGAACACTACGCATCAAAAATTGCTCGCTCTGGAATGTGACAAAAACTAGTCTATTTTTTACTTATTATCTCAGAGAGCTCGATATATGTGTACACGGAGTGCTTCAGATTTAATGCTTAAAATATGAAATTATATTCAAATTCTTATTATCTACACACAACTATTTAGTTAATAGATTATTATACAGAGACATTCACCATGGATAGCATATCCGTATACTCTTCTTAAGCGGTGTTCCAGAAATTAATTTAATTTCCCTATTTTTTGTTCAAAACATAATTTAAATTAACAATTAAATCTTTATTACAACCATTTCGGAATTCGAAGAGGGCTAAAATTTTGGGTAGACTTTACGAAGATTTCACTCAATCGCTTTATGTAAAAATGTGCTTTTATACCGGTGAAAACAAAAACAAAAATTAAATTTCATTTGTTCAAATCAATCACCTATTAGGTATTCTGGAAGACCATTAAACAACCATTCAAATGATATATTAAATATCCTCGAGAATAAAGTCAAAATTTGATTATTTAGAAAATTGTATAATGTAAATGTTTACTACTCATCAGTATATCAGTATAAAAGCTCTGACAAGTTGTGGAAGAGCAGTAGACTGGGACTGAATTTTTGTCCCACAAAAAGAACAATACAATTAATATGCAACTTAAAACCACTAGAGCCATATAGAGGTGTTTTTAGAACGATTTTTTTTTTACTTCTGACAGGTTTATATTTACTTAAAATATTAATTTATATACATAAAAATAAAGACAACTTCCAAACAAAATAACTTTGCTTTCTACAAAACTTCTAGATTCCTCTTGCGTCGGTTTTTGCCGAATCGAACTTGCTGACGTTTCGCCAATCATCCTGTTGGCTTCTTCAGAGTTTGACTGAAACTGGCTCGTATTTTACTCTGTAGCTGTTTATATATTGTTTGAGTGGGGCGGAGCTAAATGAGGGGCATAAACACCGTCTCGGATGACTGATTCCCATATTGGTGACAGGTGGAGACCTGAGTCGCGGTTAAGATTGTTAGGTTGTTTACCAAAGTTCCTATTCCTGAAACTCTCGACATCATTTCAGATATATTAAAGTCCGAGAATCTGGAACCAAACCTTCTCACTTTAATTGAAAAATGCGAGTAGAGAACATATTTTTCTTATAACGGTCAAATTTTTGAACAAACGTCGGGAACAGCTATGGGTTCTCCACTATCACCAGTCATAGCATATATGTTTATGGAACCCTTTGAGAAGAAAATTCTCGACACCTTTCATCTAAAACCAAAATAATGGAAACGCTACGTTGATGATACTTTTGTTATTTGGCCTCATGGTCCAGAAACCCTAGTAGATTTTCTTAGACATTTAAACTCTATACACTTTAACATACGTTTTACCATTGAGTTGGAAACTAATAATAAGCTTCCATTCTTAGATATTCTTATCTTATATAAAACAGACCGATAACTTAATGCATGGTCACCATCCGGTACAAAAATCATAAGTTATCAACTCTCTTGTTTACAGAGCCGTAAAACTATCTTGCCCGAGTCACTGCAACCAGAGTTAAAACACCCCACCTGTGCTCTTCTCTCTAATAATTTGCATATTAAAGATATTAAGCGTTCCATCAAAAAATACCCTTCACCACAAACTTCCAATAGTAATGACGTAGAAAGCAATTCTACACTTGCCACTGTGGTTCCTTACATTCAAAACATCACTGACCACATATTAAAAGTTCTAAAGAAGTATAACGTCAAAACCAGATTTACCACTTGTCCAAAAATTTCTCAACATCTTCGGTCCGTCAAAGACAAAATTCCATTTGAGATGCCAGGAGTTTACAGGATTCCATGCATATGCGGCAAAGAATACATTGGAGAGACCGGACGAAAAATATCAACTAGACTCAAAGAACACGAAAGATCCTTACAACTAACACAAATGAACTCATCAGCTGTTGCCAAACACACTCATGAAACCGGACATAAAATTTTATTCGATAAAACTAAAATTCTTGCATGTAATCAGTTCTCCTACCAACGAAAAATCCGAGAGTCTATAGAAATCTATAAAGAACCTAACAATCTTAACCGCGACCAGGTCTCTACCTGTCACCAATATGGGAATCAGTCATCCGAAACGGTGTTTATGCCCCTCATTTAGTTCCGCCCCCCTCAAACAATATATAAGCAGGTACAGAGTAAAATTCGAGTCAGTTTCAGTCAAGCTCTGAAGAAGCCAACAGGATGATTGGCGAACCGTCAGCAAGTTCGATTCGGCAAAAACCGACGCAGGACGAATGCAGAAGTTTTGTAGAAAGTATTACAGTAGCCTGTGGAAGTTTCTTTGAGGAAAACATATAACTTTGCTAAATTTTTCAATCCGGAAAAACATACTTTAATATGCTGATTGCTGAAATCACAGAAAATACTATTTAAAATCTTTACTGACAAAAAATGTTTTTTTAACGTGCCTCATACAAATATCCTATGAACAATGGAAAAAAATATTTTGTTTTGTTTTCACGAAATAGTTTTTTTATTTGGTTGTTTTATATAAAAATTTTATGTTGCTGTTTATCCTGATGAAACTTTCTTTTGTTATATTGTTATTAGTGAATAAATAGCTACTACACTCTGCTCTACTCTTAAAATACGTGTACTTATAGAATACATCTTAAATTATGGCATAGTTTCTAGTGGTTTCTAGGGTTCCACAATATTGACCAAGCTTACAATTGACTAATAAATGAGAATTAAAATTAGTTTCCCAAGAAAGGTATTTAATATTATTTAATATTGTTATTAATTATTAGTCTATTATTATTAGTTATTAAGCAAATTAAGCAAAACAAGACATACTATTTGCCAAAATGATATTTATTGCCTAGGCCCAATGATTCTCCAAGTCTATGGTCTATATGAAGTTTTTGTTCTTCTATTTATTTCTATTCTAATCTATTTGGTAGGAATACAAAGAAAACAACACATATTTGTGCTACAAACTAGACGAAAATAAATATTAAATACAATTCGAACAGATTACAGGAAGACGAGACAAGGAAAAAGTATAATGCAATTCTAGAAAGAGCATTAGAAGATTTAAGTTCAGAAATGATACAAGTGCTTAAAAATGAAGAACAAAGAATAAGATGAAAAAGAATATTAAGAGAAAAATATAAAACGTATCATGCAAAGTGCATAGAGGAAATAAAAAATAATTAGCAAAAATGTATCTAGGTATCAATTTATACAGACAAAGAAGGCAAATTGTTAGCAGACAAAAGCGAAATATTAGTGCGATGGATGGAATATTTTGAGGAATTGTTACTCGAAGGACTAAAAAAGTTCTAGGGAATTGTTGGATAACAACCTTACAGAACTAGAAGTGCTAGGATGAAATAACGAGTCAAAGCTTAT